TACCCCCCCCCCCATTTTCGGAAACTCCCAAATGAGAGAGGGTCTGCCCAATTTAAAACCCTAAGCCCTAAACCCTAAACCCTGAAGCCTTAAGCCTTAAGCCTAAACGCCTCAACCCTAAACCCTCAAGTCCTAAATACAGAATTTTTTTATGTCTTTTTTAATGTCTATTTTGGGTCTGTTCACACTCGCAGCATCTCGGGTTCACCTGGCTGCAGCGCTGGAGCCATGGCCCTGGCCTCCGAGGCTTGTCGTGTCTTGGAGGTTCATGGGTTGTTATAAGTAGGGTTCCTATTAAGGGGTTCTACAGGGTTTAGGGTTTAGGGTATAGTCAGATTATAGGTTTAGTGGTAGTTATAAGTGGGGTTACAAGTCGACTAATATGGGTTTTAACAATAGTTACCCTACTTACAACCCCACTTATAATTGCCCACGAACCTCCAAGTAGGGGTTTCTACGCAGAGAGCTCAGTGAACTTACAGTGCCCAGAGGTCTTTGTAAGGTTTTTTGTTTGGGGACCTTTGTAAGAGTTTAGGTTTGGGAGCCCCGTAATTTAGGAATATACCTTAAATCGCCATATTGGGGCACCTATAATTGAAGGGGATTCAGTTTTCAGGGTTTGGGGTTTAGGGATTCTGGAGTGGAGGTGAAAGGGTTGGAGGTTTAGTAGCACACACGATTCCACATGTCAAGGTCGCTTATGATCAGGATCCGATCATTTGGGGTTTCTGCTAAGGAAGTTAGGAGTCCCCACAAGCCTTCCAGTTTTTCACCCGAAGCCTTAAGAAATCCACAAGCCATTATTTGGGGATGAAAGGAGGGTTTAGGGTTTAGGATTTATGGTTTAGTGGCAACGGGTCTAGTGATTAGGGTTTAGGGGATGTAGGGTGACCGAGCCAAATCTACTTCGTCAGCATGCCAACAGCACTCGCCCACCCAACCCGCCGAAAGACCTCACTCCGCAGAGAGCCTAAGGCCTCATAAGTGAGGAATTACAACGAATCCTTGATCTGATTCAATCCTAAATCCCAAACCTCAACCAAATCCTAAGACGGGGTGTCCGATTGCAGCGCTCCACCGGGGATAGGTCCGATCTCTTAAACCTCATGCGTAGCCCTCCACTCCCTCAGCTCAAAGCCCAAACCAAAGCCTCAAACTCAAACCCCAAACCAAGCATTGTAAAGCCCCACACCCCGTACTCCCTCACGAACCCTTAAGAGCACTGGTAGAACGTTTCTGGAGCCCTCTTTAACCGCTTGCTTAACAACCCAGAGCCGAGGACCTATACCCCCCGAACATAGCAACCTGAATAACTGGGATGGAGGGTCGGGAGACTTAGTAACTGGCTGTTTTAGGAACTTATAAGGACCCTAAAAATGGACCCTAATTGGGGTTATGGTACTTATAAGTCAATAAAATAACCAGTTACTAAGTCCCCCGACCCAACAAGTAGGCTCCTGATCACGACTATGGCAAGGGGAGTGCAAAGTGCCCGTAATCCCTTGTGGAACCTTTATAGATCCGTTTCAAGGAACTTTTAAACCCTAAACCCTAAACCCTAATCCCTAAACCCACATAAAAAAAGCCTAAACCCTTAACCCTAAACCGCAGCCCGAAGAGGTGCGTCAGAGGAGAGCACAAAGCCAGCACAGCCCATCGGAGGCCGCGTGGCCGCAGAAGTCTTCAGAGTCTCTTTGTTAAAAACGGTTCAGGGTTTAGGGTTTAGGGTCGTCTAAAGGTTCGCGGCTTTCAGGGTATACACTTGGAATTGTGACTTCAAGAAGTTCGAGCTTTGTTTAGGTTTGTGTGGAGGTTCAGTGATTGAGGTTGAGGGCTTTGTTTCTTGGGCGTCGGCTTCAGGTGTGATAGAGTCTTAAGAGTTAAGATGACTGCTTGTTGGCTTTGGCTGCAGGGCTTTCATTTGTTTCGTGATTTTGTGGCTTCCCTAAACCCGAAACCCTAAACTCTAAACCCTAAGCCCGAAGCCCTTAAACTCCAAACCCTAAGCCCTAAACTCTGAACCTCAAGCCCTAAACTCTAAACCCTAAACTCTAAACTTTAAACCCTAAGCCCTAAACCCTAAAACCTGAACCCTAAAACCCAAGCCCGCAGCAGTTATTTCTTTTGGTGTTCAGGTTCGAGGCTCTGCCGGGGTTAACTTGCGTGTTGTTGATTTTAGCATCAGCGGTTTGCGGGTCTAAGATTCTAAGATTCTAGTCTCCTGGACATCCGTTGCTTCATTCTTTTTGGGCTTGAGGGCTTGAGGGGTTTTGATGTTTTTTTCTGGATTTCAAGCCTTTGGTGTTTCGGGGTTTGGGCTTTAGGGTTCAGGGTCGCAAAGTATTTGTACTTAGATGAAGAGTCGTTGTGGGGTACTATCGCTGGTGAAGGTAGTTTGAACCTCGCAATGGAAGATCTGCCCAAGAACCTCGAGAGGAACTTCAGGACGTTTGAGGAGGTTATGCGGCGGAAAGCAAGCCAACTACCGGATGGATTCTGTAAGAGATGCGAGCAATTCCTCCAGGAGGTGCATGATCACCGGAAGGACCTGGCAGAGAGTATGGATATCTTCAAGGAGGACGTGCAAAGCAGGATGGAGCTCCGCCTCCTGAAGCGATTGAGACCGCAGAAACACGTTGCGAACCGCGGCTAATGTAGGGACCTTAGTATTTAGAATAGGGTTTTTGGAGGCTCCTTACTATGGTTATAGTATAATACACCTTATTCTTATAAGTAATTCCTAGCCCCTACCGCCACACCCGAACCCTGAACCCTAGACCTTAGGCGCTGGACCCCCTGTGGCCGAGACTTCCCTAAACCTGAAACCACCAAAAACCCTAACCTCTAAGCCCTCCTATCAGCACGGAAAACATCTTAGCTGCATCATTCGCTTAGAGTCCCTGTACAGGTATAGTTCAACTACGACTCTATAGGAAACCCTAGATCCCGCAACATTGAACGGTTCTGCCCCGCCGGGATTCCGACAAGAAGCGACCCCGAAGGAAACCTTCACCTCTGCGCAGTCGCACAAAAACTCGAAGCTCCGAACCGCGAGCCCTAGAACCCCAAATCGCCAGCCCTTACTTGGAGGGTCTTTAGGGGACTTAGTAAGTAGGTAGTATGTAGACTCATAAGTACCCTAAAAGGGACCCTAATTGGGGTTATGGTACTTATAAGTCCCTAAAACAACCACTTAGCATGTCCCCCGACCCTCCAAGTAACTCTCAGCGTGAAATCCAAGACGGAAAGCTCCAAGCCCTCAAAGATTAGCCCTGATTCTCCCTTGCCGAAAACCTAAACCCTACACCCCGAACCGGAACCCCAAACCCCAAACCCCGAACCCCGAACCCCAAACCCCAAACCCCGAACGCCAAACTCCAAACCCTAAAGCCTAAACCCTAAAGACACGTCACTACAGATTTAAAAAAAATCCTAAACTCTAAGTCCTGAAGCCTAAAGCCTAAATCCTGAACCCTAGAAGATCTAATCGCCCCTATAGTTGCCCTTATAGGCACTTTTTTCAAAAGGAACCCTGTATATAAAGGAAGCCGAAAATCCTACTCCCCTTGCTTCGGTGTACTAAGGATGTAGCAGCTTCCGGGCCGGCCGCCGTGGCCATCTCTAGGCAGATGGCAACGAGGGTTTAGGGTCTTAGGGTCTTAGGGTCTTAGGGTCTAGGGTTTAGGGTCTAGGGTTTAGGGTTTCGGATATGCGTTACTGGAATAAAGCAGCGAGATAATGATGTGATAGATCAAGGACATCAGTGAATACATGGTGCATGTTTATGCAGAGATAGTATGATAGATAGACAGACAGACGATAGATAGATGTAGATAGGCAGATATATATATATATATATGTATATAGATAGACCGATAGATAGACAGACACATAGATACAGACAGCTATTTAGAAAGGTCTGTATAGGGCTACAGTATTGGGGCGTTGGACGGAGGGGTTAGAACTTAGGATTTAGGGCTCAGGGCCCTATTCCTGTGGGACTTGCCGTTTTGGGTTTGGTCGTGGTATTCGGACCTTGGGTTTTGGGTTTGGGGCGTTCTGATTCAGCAGGGCATTGCGGGTATGTAGTAGCCTGCATGGGAACGTGGATATCGCATAGTAGGTTTCGTTTCCCGCATGCTCACAAGAATCCAACAAGCAGGAGGAAGGAGTACCAGACTTCTAGGAAGTGCTCGGGCTTCGTCATTGTGGTGCTTCCTGAACCATAATCGCTGCTAAACTCCCCTTGAGAAGAAGGCCGGCAGCGGGGCCGCAGTCTTCACCTGCGCCGTACATGAGGCCTGTTGGGGTCGTTAAGACCCTAAACCATGGGGTTCAGGACTTAGGGTTCGATTCATGCTCTTGGGTCTCTTGGCCATCCAAGCCCGAAGCTCTAAACCCGAAGCTCGAGAGTCAGCACATCAGGGTTGGGCTCTCTCCACCATTTCGGCTGGTAGTGTCTAAAGTACAAGATGGACTCGGAGCACCTGTGGACTTTCCGCGGTTGTCACATGCCACTGCATCCTTTGACAACATACTGCTGTTTCAGAAGTGTCGGCGTAGATTTTGGAATTCAGGGTTTCCCCTAACCCTAACCCCTAGACCCTAAGCCCTAAGCCCTATACCACGCTTCTTCCCAGCGCGACCCGAATCTTCGAGGCCGGAAGCGCGAGCAGCTGTGAAACCCATTGTTCCTCGCCTTGCGACCATGAGAGTGGTTGTCAACAATTATGGTCCCTTTTTGGGTGTGCCCAGTAAGGGACCTTAATTTTGACAACTACCCATGAAGCTGTAGCTGCATCTAAGCCCTCAGAACTCTAAACGGTTTAGGGTTTAGGGTCTACCTCTAACCTATAGACCCTCAAACTTTAAGCTAGCAGCTGTAAGTCTGAAGAATGAGGCATAAACAGGAGCCCTGAGCCAAATGGTTGTGGCAACAGTCATTGCGGCTCGAGCAACTTTGTGAAACTTCATTCGGAACCCTCGCGAAGGCTTCACCCATGGCTGCATTTCGGCTCTTGGCGCCACTTCTGCTCGCACTGGCCCTTGCGAGTCCGGATGCGACGTGCTTGTCTTCCATCAAGGTCGTCGATGACTTCCTTTCCGATGCTGAAGCACAGGCTGTGATCAGAGACCTCGAGGCGCAGAGGAGCGGGTCGGAGCGCGTGCGCCAGGAGGCGCCCATGCTCGCAGAACGCCTCAAGTCGGAGCTGAGGTCGAAAGAGCAGGAGGAACAGCTCTCCAGCGCTGTGGAGGTGCTGGAGCCCGTTGGGAGTGAAAAGCTCATCCATGAAGTCTCAGGCCATGCAACCCTAGAGAGGCGTCTTCGGGAAACCATGACTGGCAAGGAGGCAGCACAGCTGGAGGCCTCCAAGTCTTCCGTGCCAGTCTCTCGCAAGAGCGGCGATGTGCAAGAGCATGCGGATCACGTGACGCACTGGGTGAACGGTAAGGTTCCGGGAACAGCCGCAGTCGCGTACCTGGAGTCTGCCCCGGATGGCGGCAGCCTAGGCAAGCTCATCTTCAAGGACATCGCTGACGACCAGAAGGTTGTCAAGGAGGTGGAGGCGATCGCCAAGCGCTTCATTTCCTGGGACAACAGCAAGTGTTTACACAGCTTCAAAGCCCGCTACCAAGGCACACGACGTTTGCTCGGTCCCCTTGCTTTGACTTCGTACGGAGACATGGTGAAGGTGGGGCCTATCACCCAGCCAACCACCACGACCACGGAAGAACCGGAAGAAACGACCGAGGCGCCGAAGGGTTACTACCGCAAGAAGTTGTCCCCCTGGTGGTGGAAGAAGGGCTACAGTGGCTACAGGCAGCAAACCGCCCTTGTTCAGGACGGCTCGTCGGACACTGTACATTTCATGCAGATGGACAAAAACGGCAGCCACCAGGAGCTGTGAGCCGCAAAAGGCGTATGATCCAGTTTTGTTTACCTTTCCCAGGCATTTCAAGATTACCCCAGACTCCCTCAACCTTGCCAGCATCGACCAGAGGTTTTCCCGAAGCAACTGGCAGCAAAAGAAGACATGCATGAACGGAACCCTTGGTAGATGAGTTCCAGTCATTCAGGAACTCGCAAATAACTTCCGAAGTGCTGGTGGGAAGGGCTCCAAGGATGCGGCCCAAAAGCGGCCGGCAGATGTCGGATGGTTTGTCTTGGATGGCAAGAGCTACGTTTAAGGCTCTGCCCGAAGAGTTGTGCGATCACAAAGAATGACGGCCCAAACCCTCTAGACTCTAAGCCCTCACACCCTAATTAAACATAGAAAGCCAGCTCAACATGCTAAAAAGCTTCAAGTGTAAGCCTGCATACCTACGGACATACATGCATACATACTTACAGGCGTGCTGGCATACAGACATGCAGACAGCCTGCATACATACAAACATACAGACACAGAGACATACATACATACATACATACATACGTACGTACGTGCGTACGTGCATACATGCGTACGTACATACATACACACGTACACACGTACACACGTACATACGTACATGCATACGTACATACCTACATACGTACAGACATGCCTACTTAAGTACATGCATACATGCGTACATACATAATTACATGCATACATGCATTCATGCGTGCATACATATGTACATTCATCCATCCAGCCATGCATGTATCCAACGATGCATGCATCCAACCAGCATGCATCCAAAAATGCATCTATCCAACCACGCAAGCATGCACATACCCTGAACAACTATAGACAACCGTCTGTCTAGTGAAGACCTTCGAGGTCCTCTACCGCGACGCCAACCCCCAACCAAAGAACTGCAGCAAATCCCCGCTCTTGTAAAGGCCATGCAGAGATCTCCCAAGCTCAGCCCTAATGCCCAGAAGCCTAATCCTGACCCGTCGCCCCTCCTCCCCAATCCTCCCCTTAACCCTCAACCCTAAAACCCTAGACCCTAAACCCTCAACCCTAAATCTCGAGAGCCTAGACCATGAACGCTCCTCCCCTCGCAAAACCAAAGACCTGCGAGGTCCGGAGGAGGTGACCTCGGGGCAGGTCCCAGGCGGAAGCTCTCGCTTTCGGAGGCACCAGGGCATGAGGATCAATATTGGGACCTAAAAGCAATTACCAAGACTCTTTTGGGGGGTCCTTACTACAACTATAGTATCTCCGTATTATAAATATAATATGATATATGGCCCAAAACCCTCTTCTATACTACGTACAAGGGCCCCTGTGAGGATTAGGTGTTTTGGGATGCGGGTTGAGGGTTGAGGCTGCTGGGTTTAGGAATTAGGATTCAGGAGTTTGGTTTAGGCTGTCGGGTTGAGGACGTACTTGGAGGGTCGGGGGACTTAGTAACTGGTTATTTTAGGGACTTATATAACCCCAATTAGGGTCCCCTTTTAGGGAACTTATAAGTCTACTTACTACCTACTTACTAAGTCCCCCGACCCTCCGAGTAGGGCTCACAGAGATTCTGAAATTCAGGAACTCGGAGATCAGGTTTCGGGCACCGGCTCTATGGCTTAAAAGAGAGGGGCGTAGACAATTACCAATGCTGTTTCGGGGGGTGCTTAGGTTTAGGGTTTAGGGTTTAGGGTTTATTCTAGTTATAGTATATTGGGCCCCAAAACCCTACTCTAATCATTAAGGGCGCCATAGTAGTCTTGCGTTTTGTGGCCCGCGGCCTTCGGCGGGTTGGAAGAGGGGGATGGTTGTGCGCGTGTTTGTGTTTGTGTATATTGCTTATGGCTATATGAGGGTGAAGCGTGTTTAACTGCAGGCTTTTCAGGGTTTTGTTACATTTTGGGCTCTTCGAGTTAATAATTCTTGCCTGCCACTACGGACATGCGGTTAAGTGCCTGCGCCTGAATTGTGATGTTGTCCACAGGGCCTTATGCAGTAAGCCGATTTTTCTTACACGATGCTACTGTCCTAAACCCAAACCTTACACCCTAAACCCCGAACCTTGCTCTGGTCCCAAAACCCAACACGCTAAATCCCAATGGTGCATGCGTTTCCCAGAGAGCCCAATACTCCTTCCTTAAGGAATACCTTGAATTTTTGGGGCCTTTGTAGCATGATTTCAGCCATATTTTAGAAGGGGCCCCCACCATGTAATAGTGGTATAATAGGAATATAGTAGGGCCCTAATATAATCCTTATAGTCACCATTACAGGGTGGGGGCCCCTTCTTAGCTATATTCCTTAATTCAGGAGTATTGGGCTCTCTGGGTTGGGGTGTTTGGCCTGAAAACTCGAAGCTGGGACCCGAAGGCTGGTCAACCCTAAGCCTTGATCCCTTTTTTGAGGAACCCTAAACTAAACCCTCATCCAAATTATAGATCCCTTTTGAGGAACCCCTTATAGATCCCCTGAAAGGAACCCTAAGCCCAAATTCACTACGGCTTGGGGGCTCCAAACCTCCAAGCTTCCAGGTAGCGCTGCTACCCTGGCTGTGCTGTATGGCACCGGCCATTGTGCTCTTTTCGAACTACCTCCTCGCCACTTGGTCCGCTGTAGCTTCTGAAACTTAATCTTATGCACCCTACTTGGAGGTTCCTGGGTAGTTATAAGTGGGGTTATAAGTAGGGTATACTTGTAACACCACTTATAACTACCTCCAAGTAGACCCAAAAGCCATCCATGCCCCTCCCTCTGCAACCATCAACTTCTGCTGCTTCAAGTTTAGGTTTAAACCGCTGCATCCCGAAGCCCTGAGCCTCGGACTGTGGTGGCTTAGGGTTTAGGGTTTAGGGTTTAGGGTTTAGGGTTTAGGGTTTAGGGTTTAGGGTTTAGGGTTTAGGGTTTAGGGTTATGAGCCCTAAGCCCTAAACCTCAAACCCGAAATCCTCAACCCTACACCCTGGAACATCAAATTCTGGATCCTTTTACCCATATGAGGGTGGTCAGAGGGCTGAGGGGTCAGGGCCTAAATGGGAAATTCCGAAAGTAGGGGACCCGAATATAGTACCCAAAGCAGTAGGATCCTTATTATAAGGACCCCAAAGTAAGGTACCCCTAATTTCCGGAAGCTCTAAACCCGAAACCCTTTATAGAACCCTCATAGTACCCTGATAGTATCCCTTTAAAGGAACCCTAAGGTACCCTTATAGGACCCCAAAGTAAGGTACCCCCATATCTTCGGAAGCCAAATAAAGATCATGGCGAATGCATCCGGGCCTGGCGGGGTTTTGTTTGCTTTTGTTTTTGTCTCTTAGGGTTTAGGGTTTTAGGGTTTAGGGTTTTAGGATTTAAGGTTTTAGGGTTTTAGTGTTTAGGGTTTAGGGTTTTAGGGTTTGGGGTTTTAGGGTTCAGGGTTTAGGGTTTGGGGTGTGGCATAACGCCCACGGATGATAAAGACTGTTCTTTCTGTGGTGGATCCGAGCAGAGCCAGCGGAGGTGGAGATCCGGGTTCAGCCTTCAAGGTCTTGTCGTCCTAGACTCCCAGACCTTCCAAAATCCCTTAATTAAGGAATAGACCTTAAATTATAGTAGGATCCCTGATATGATTTAAGGTATATTCCTTAATTAAGGGATTTTGGAAGGTCTGGGCTCCTACACATCCGCCCAGCGCTCCGACGTTATTCCTGACGGCGGAAAGTTTGAGTTGTGAGAATTGGGCCGTATGGGGCAGGTTTTTCAGAATGGTTTCTTGCAAGATTATAGCGGGTTTCGCAGAGGTCCTTATAAGAGTCCCTCCATAAGGCTTCTAACAAGGATCCTCATAAGGGCCCTTGTCCAAAGAGCCCGATACCCCTTAATTGGGGAATTGAATAGACCCTGCCTTATAGGGGCCTTGTCATTATGATGTGAGCTATATTCCTGAATTAAGAGGTATTGGGCTCTGTGGGTATCAGGCTTCTTGTAAAGGGGCCCTAAACCCTAAACCCGAAGCCCCAAGAGGACACCCTGAGTCCGTAACCCTGGTCTCGTGCCCCGCACGTGAAAAACCCTGAAGCCGCAAAGCCCAAAACGCGAGAGGCCTGGGGACCTAAAGTTCTAAACACACCAGCATAGCCCCGCAACAGAGTTAGGGATAGGCATTCCCAGTTTGGGTAATAATGCCACCGCCAACCCATTAGATTATCATTCCTAGGGTCCCCCCTACACTTCACCGATAAATCACTACTACTACCCCCATTAGATGATCATTCCTATACTCCCCCCTACATTTCACCGATATATCACGACTACTACCCCATTATCAATACAATTTTAGGAATAACCATTACCCCATCTATTACCTCTAAGGTGGCATTATTACTCAAAACGGGAATGGTCTTCTCAAAGAATTTGGTTCAGGGTTTAGGGTTAAGGGTTGTAACTACACTGTAATTATAATATATAACTGTTTATGTATTATAATTACACTATAACTATGCTGGTTAGGCTGTTTAATCCATTAAGACAAACTCAGGTTTATTCATAAGAGTTCCAACAATTTTATTAAAGTCCCTAATAAAAACGTCTGGATTAAAACCAAAATCGTTTATCTTACTACGAATATCAATATTTTTAATATCCATCCAGTCCTCATATATCCATTTGAACACTGTATATCTTTTTGTTGACAATTTCTTGAACAGATTATTTTTAACCCTGTCATAAATGGGAAAGTCATGTTTAGTTGAGAAAATAAGTCTATCTACATCATATACATGTAGTATATTACGTCTGATAATTCCCTCTATCCTCTCCTTCTTGAACTGGCGTTTTTGACAACTACGGCAACAATAAACAAAGCCGTAAATATTATTAATAATATTTTCTGGTAGTGACAATTCATACAGAGTGGAATAACGTTCGTGTTTCTTACAATCTTTACATTTACAATTCCGTCGCTCTTCCTGGAGTTCCCTGAAGTAATCGTGAACCTTGACAATATCCAAGAAGTTATTTGTTATTTCATCCTGTTCGTT